CACAATCGATTTGATTTTCTTTCAAGTTATGACAAACTTTTATTGATTAGAATGAGAATAGAAAGTTTTCCAAGAGTAAGAAGAATAAAATAAAGAGAAGTAGAAAAAATGATTTGAAAAAATTGTTCAATGGTTCAATTTAATCGACAATAAATCGATTTAAATTATGACGACATTAATAAGTAGATATATCCTTTGGCTCATTAACATCACATGAAGATTTATATGGTGGAATTTGCCATTTCCAACATGGGCACTGTGGATAGATGACAAATACGAAACAGTATTTGGTGTTTGGACAAGACCAGACGCCTACGTAGGGTATACAGTGTTTGTTAGCCCATGCTTGAAAGAAACTGTCATGACATTGCTTAAACTTTTGAAAAGTGCACCAGCATTTAAAATATGGTTGTGACGAAGGATTATACCATTTAATGAGATCAGTTACTTCGTAGGACGATGGTCGGCCATCACTTGTTCTCTGTGCTAACAAAGCAGCACATGAACCATCGTAGATTGCTGTATGATGTTCCGGTTTCACGTTCAGTTTGCCACTTGGTTTTACATCATCATCAGAAGCAATCTGAAGAAATAGTACTACAGCAATGAAGCATGAAATCGTTAATAGTCGATGCATGATGTGCTAGAATATGAAAATTATTTACATGAATAGAAAGATGATGTTTAAACTAAACTTACTGTGTTGATTGAGAAAGCCTACATATTACTTATGTATTTATACCCATGATTGAAGTTACATATGAAAAGACTCAATGAAGCATAATACCATTATGTAAACATGATGTTTTATTGAGTGAATCATAATTAATGGTTTTGGGCGTAACTTAAAATGAGAGAGTGAAAACGAAAAATAAATTACATCTTAGATGACTTTTCAAAGAAAGTTTTTGATATTATAAAAGAATGATTATGATTGTAAAAATTGATGCTATTGTATGTTTATTTGTGCTAAGATATATATTTTTTTTGTAGAAGAATATCTCCTGTCATTTGCAATGACGAATTAAACATTCATAAAACTCCATTTTTAATCCAATATTTCATCGAATATGCTTGATATAGTATGAGAACAAGATTTTCAAAACAGCAATTTCTTTCTCATTCTAATAATTCCTTTATTCCAGAGTGATTTTAGCTTGTAAAACATGTTCATTGTGATACATATTGATGAAAGAATGAGATGTGTCTGATAGTAAAATACAATTCTTTTTTCGTACTTCATCATGCACTTCTTTTAATAATGTTTTACAATAGACAAAATTATTTGAAATAACTTATCATAGTTTATTCAATACAAATGATGATCCTATAATTTGAACAATTTTTTCAAGATTCAAAGATTCTTCATTTTTTTTCAATCACTTTTGAAAAGAAATGTATAAATTTTTAGTATTATTTAGTTGAGAAATGTTGACTGAATCGAATCATGTAAAAATCATTCAATTATCATGAAAATTAACTGAATAATTAGTGGTAATTTCCAAGTGACTGAATTTATTCTGATGAGAAGTTCTGATTCTAATAATAACAATAAGCCAAAAAATACTCCTAAAAATGACAGTCTATGCAAAATGCATAGAAAATTAAATATTTAAAATAAATAAAGTTAAGAAAGGTCATTACACATAGTTTATATATGTATATAGGTCATTTGAAAAGTTTTGCTGCCCTGTTCACTTAAAAGATTTTATCAAGAAATAACGATACTAATGTAAGGCCCAGATATATTTACGATTATGTGCAAAATTTCAGACTTCTAGATCTTTTACTTTGTTGTAGTCTATCATTTCTTTGATACTAGTGAGGCAGATTGAATGATCATGTTTTGTATATAAGTTTTCAATCTCTTAACAGTAGAGAGAGAGAGAGAGACAGGAGAAAGAGGAAAGAAAGATCAGCAGAAAGTGATACCAATATCGGCACACTTTCCCACTCAGATTAGACACGCTTCTGAGCATCTGTATAATGTCGAGTACAAAAACACGGAAAGGAAAACGGACAAATAGTGAATAGAAGAATAAAGAACAGAACACACCAAAAGTCCATAATATGAACTTTGTTACATAGTGAAAAAAGTGGAATGCAAATGACATTCAACAATAAGCTTTGTAACAATCATTTCAATTACATATTTACACACTCATATACGAGATTACTTGACAGTTTACATATCATATAAAAATTTATGCGATGACATAGAGAAAAAGCAATAGCATACAATACACGAAACATTCAGAACGATTTATTTTCACATTTTAAATTACTTAATTCGGCATTTCATATAGAATACAAAGTAGAACAATATGATTCAACGCGAATGAACAGTACAGAAATATCCATTTTCACAATTTCAATTAATATACACGACATTTTTTCGCAGAGTAGAAAGGATAAAACGAATTTAGCTTCTCAGAATTCATAACATACACATAATTAATCGCGCATTTTCGCACTTATCTATCCTCTTACAATATCATTTAATTAAGACATAAAAATCAAACGCATAGCTCTCTTATTATTCAGAAAAAAAATCACTCAGTTACTTAATAAACACTTGGACATTTTTTGTAGTTCACTCCGAACAACGAAATGAATAATAACATACAGAAAATCGAATTTAGTATGTAAATGATACATAGACCAACTTCTTTTTTACACTTTATAGTCAGATTAGCTTAACACTTCGCATATAAAATATGAGAAAGAACAAATGTATAGCGTCAAAGTGCTCATGGATGAACTATAGAAGTCAAGGCATTTTCACAAAATACTATCATCTTCCAGTGATTTTTCGTAAAAAAGAGAAAGTTTTACATGTTATAATCGATCTTATCATCTTTAACACTCTCAGTTAATACAAAACAAAAGAAACAATTTTTACACTCTCATTATGCTTGAAAAAAAACTCATTTTGATATCTTTTATCTGTGTCTTCCCATTCTTGACCGATGATCGATTGCTTATTATCGTTATTTCACTCATCTTCAAATATTTGACCATCACGAATCGTTATTCATCAAAAGTAGTAAGTTGGATGAAATAGATATGGCGATAACAGACAAGGAACAGATGATTATTGCTTGGCAGGTTGTCATTTCAACGATATACATAGGATTGATGATAAATGAATTGTAATTACTTACAGCTAATATATAATGATGTTCCTTATCATCAACACTAGTTTGTTATAAGAGGAATGGAAAAAAATATGATTGAGATTATACAGGTTGAAGAGATTTGAGAAGAAGAAACATGAAACATATACATATTAAAAAGTAAAGTGCGCGTCGTCTTCGCACAGTCGATTGGAAACATAGTTGCCCTTTTGTACATTCATTGATGTTTTGTGGTACTGTCATTGACCTAGTACTACAATCACTCAGTATCAAGGCAATTTGAAAATACTATGTCCTTTAGCTCTCGTCTTCTCATTCATTCATTCTCTCACTCAATATTTATTAGTGTCCATTGTTGTTGAATTATATTGTCATATGATGATCCATGATGTTCAATTGTTGTTTGTTCTGGCAAGATCTAACTTTCAATTAGAATCTGATAGGATTCGTTAGTCAGGGTCGACATGTAACGACAAATTGGATAGATGGCTTATCGCCACCCTCAGTAATATTGTTTATTGAGTTACCTCACATGTCCAGAATGCAAGTACTTGATATACAACATACACTTATATAAAAGAGAGATGAACACAGGAAAGAGCAATAGAGAGAGACAAGGAAGAAAGAGGAAAGGAAGATTAGCAAGAGGTGATATCAATATCAGCACACCAAGGTCAAGGTTTAAAGGTCAGACATTTAAGGAACTTTTCAGAAGGATAGAAGGTTACCTTGAATATTCTAGAATGTTTCTGGAGCTATCTTGTGGGTTATGAGTGTGTGAAGAAGGCACATGTCAGTTTCTACAGTTATTCCCAAGCTAACTCACAGCACCCAACCCGAAGCGAAGGGGGCGAGCATCTGAAAGGTGTCCGGAGACTTAGGAATAGGAGTTCCTTCTTAGTTTCCCCACAGTTCCTGGAATGTTAATATCAAAAAGTAAAATATCCACAATATTTAAGAAAAAGCATCCCTTTGACTTTCATCAATAGGGGAGCTACTAGGGAACCCATGATCAATTTCCATTTTTTCGAGGCATTATCACAGCGATACTAACAGTTCCGCTACAGATAAGAATTTCGTATTTCTCAGTTCTTGGACACTGCAGAAAAATTGAATCGCACAGGACTCGATCTTTCAGGTGGCATACATTATTTTACGATTAGTGCTGAAGTTCCAGAACAATTTGTCGTCGACACTAGTGGTGATGGGTGTGGATGAAAAGAAGATCCATACTTACACTGACGCTCCCATGAAGTCCTACTTCTTGCCAGAAAGTGAGCCCAAAAGCTTTTAATCAGTTGGTGGGGTCCCCTCATTAGACAAACACTGATAGACTGTTTGCCCATCGATGAAGATGAGAAAACTGTCCAGTTTGTCGACACTATGACTATTATGTTGTGATACAGGATGTAAGTACATCATAGAGAGCACACATCATTCACATAATTATTATTACGACTGTTGGATCACTGTTCTACATAACCGCAGCACAGTTGTTAAAAAAGGATGACGACTTGGACTGATAAATTAACCAATTATATTTTAACAGAAAAAAAGGATTTGTGTATTGTGTAGATGTCAATAAATTATAGCATTTTACAGAAAAGTTTACAACGTTTCTTCTAATAAGCAAATAAAATAAAATAAATTATAATTTAGCTGAGAAATCACATCAGACAAAATAAATGATTCATTGCCCTACTTTCTCCGTTAAACTTTTCAGAAGCTCGTACTTGAAAACGTTTGAGATTGTCCAACTCAACTATTCTTTCAAATAGGAATAAAAATGCAAAACAAGCGTCATGCAATCAATTATTATTATAAATTTTATTAGTGGACAAGATTTTAGTAAAAAGACCAATATCAATTATTCTCTTCTAGATGTTGGATACATGCTTGAAATAATTCTTTTTGAACGTCGTCATCACCCATGTGACCTTGATCGAATACAACTGTCTTTGCATTTAGTAATTTTGCTAATTCTTCTTGTTTTTTCGATGACATCAAAGCATCTTTCAGCGATATTTGAACGGTAATCGGAATACCTGCATCACGTATTAAGCGTCCTTTGTCATTCGATAAATAATGTGAAGCAGTCACCGAGCACTGACAAGCACAAGCATCTTGATTACCAAAAGCCCACCATTGATCATACTCATTAATCCATAATGTTGCATATCGTTCACCACTAACTTTAAGAGCAGAAGGTGAAAATGTAGCAGGAAGAAGAACATCACGAATCATTCTTTCATGATCTTTCTTGATAAGAAACGGCATTAGCAATGACCAGGTGCTAGGACCAAGTATTGCCATCGGTCGAATAAAACTACCACGTGACGTCACTGCAAGATACAACGATCTCAAACGATTTGACTGGATTAAAAGTAGAGCCAATTCTTGTGCTACCATTCCACCAAGACTGGCACCGTATATATGTACAGGCTCATTTGCTGCCCAGACTTTAGCGATTAAAGCAAGAGCATCATCAGCAAGCATACGTGATGTTTGCCGAACTTTGGAAGTAGTTAGTGACTTCCCTATTCCTCGATGATCATATGTCAAAACTTCCATTGGTGTTGAAGAATGAGCAAAATGTTTGACAATAAATTGTGCTTGTTTATCGAAGTGTTTCAATGTAGCAAATGCACCCATTATCATAATTACTTTTGATGTCTCTTGTAGAACTTGTGGTGAACGCAGTTCATAATAGAGCTCAGTATCGGGACTAATTTTGACGAAGCCAGTAGTGATTTTGATTTCATCTCTATTAGTTGTTGTATTTGGCTGTTCTGGGGAAGAGATTGCTGTTTCAGACAAGCTCATTGATCTCGTTTTTGGCTGAAGTGTGTTGATATCAACTGAAAATAAGAATTTTTTTATTAGGCTGTGATTAACACCATTAAAATGATGATAACATGCTTCTGATCTTTAACTACGATCGATTTTTTTTGTTCTTAAACTATTATTGTGAAACACGATCTGAAAGGAGTGTTGAAGTGTTTAGCGGCAGAAATTTGAACTCCTCCCCCTCTTCCCCCACAGACTGTGAGAGACAGGACTTTGGATCCATCACAGACCGTGACAGACAGGGGTTTGGGCCCATCACAGATCATGACAGATAGGCTTTCAACCCATCACAGACCGTGATAGACAGAAGTAGGGGAAGCTATAGACTATGATAGAAGACTCAAAGGAAATATCAAAGATGATGCATAAGTAACATATGATTGGAGCATATATGGAGTACTATCCTGTTGAAAGTTTATGATGTAAGGTTAACTATTATGAAGTAATCTACCCCAATATGCATAAAAACAACAGCCTTTAGAACAACGGCTATACCAGTTACATCGTGTTTCACATTTTTAATCCCACAAGGGATTGCGCTAACACTCTTTTTTTCTTGTGCTACCGACAAAAACAGGACTCAAATCTTTTCTACTGTTCTATACATGAAAGAGTAGTGTTGTATGACTCATTGTGTCAGCTTACTGTTTCAGTTGCTTGTGAGTAGAAAAAGAACTATCTGTCCACGTGATAAGTAGAGTGACCAAACAAAAACTAGTGAAGAAAATGAGAAAGAAAGCAAATATTACCTTTGTTTCGCATTTGATACAATTACCAAGAACATTTTTGCTTTTATCACATCACAGAACAGAAAAGAGAAATTACTCGTCGGAAGCTTACCAATCATTCTAAATTAACTCATAGAACAACAGAAAATCAAACAGCATATAGATGTCTACTAAAGATGGAAGTATCGACTTTTGATATAAGCTATTAATTACAATTTTCTTGAGATCATTCACTACAGTCATCTTTAGCGTTCACCTATATGTCATTTTGTTTTTTGTTCTGTGGTGTGATTAAAGTAAAAATGTTTCCAATCATCCTTGTATCCTTGTATCATAAACATCGTCACATACGTAGAAATCCTGGCAATATTTTATCGTCAATCATCGACAAGTTCTGTCACGTTAATAGAGAGTTTGACGAGTTCTTGTCTTGTCCTATCTTTCGGAACAAATGAAGCATAACATTCTTGTTTATTTAGTTTTTCACAAAACCAAAGCTGTAACAAGTGAAGCGACGGTGTGACTTCTCAAACATTGGATACAATCAATTAGTTATTCATTGGTTTTGAACGAACGAATATAGCCTTATGATCGAAGTTTTCCGCTTGTTCTTTTTGTGCAGTATGATCTATTGAATTTCGTGCTCCACAAGTCTCAAAAAATTCCGTATTCAAGTTCAAAAAAAAGATGAAGTTGAACGATAAATGAATCAACCTAGAGATAATTGAATCGTCTAACAGCTTAACTCAATAAGTTAGTTATGTCGATTCAAAATACTTTCATCATCTGAAACCAAATCACGTGTTAATTACTGTTGTTCGGATGCACCATATATTGGTAAAATATTGATCAAAATATCGTGGTCCGATTTGTACTCTATATACTTCATTATAAGCTAAAAGCTGAGGGAAATGACTCGAACTCGGCAAGAAACAGATAGCAATACAACCGGTTTTAGAGTTTTTCTAATCTCACCGATTACTATTTGGAAATGATCAGCTTGAACATAGATGTACAACTAATTGGTTTTGATATTTAAATAGAAAGCGGAACCAAAGATGTAATCGTCGTCTTTTCAACAATATATACTCGGTACAATATTGAAAATTCAGACGAGTCCTATCACGAACTTTTTATTATAGTTTTCGAATTTCTACATTTGAGTTTTGACAGATCTTTATACAATAGTCGCAAAATAGGAGTTTTCTCCAAAATATTATGTCAAGCGTGTGTAATCGCGGGAATAAGAGATATTTTGTCTTCCTATTTGATAGTTATAATGAAGACATATAGGAAACTACTTCAATGACAAGATTTTACTCTCAGATAACAAACAGAAAGATCATGTTGTTTTAAAGTATCGAACAAGATTTTAAGATGAAAAACGACATTAGTACCGCGTTGATCGTTCTTTCCGATTGATACGTTCTTGGAATCGACTTCCAAATGAGTCAACTAATTCTTTGTAACATTAGGTTCAATTGAGTCCTAAACTCGCTGAATCTTCTGTTGGTTCGTTTTGAAGTTCTCGCCCCATAGAGTGTGGATATGGGTTGATGAATCGAAGATCAACACCCATACTCCACACCAACATCCACACCTTCACACCAACACACTCTACTCATACCCTTTTATTTTCTCCGATTTAAAAAAAAACGACTGTTGATGTTCAAAGACCTTCGGGTGTCAATTTTGTTATGATAAATATCAATGAACTGCTGTTCTAATTTATATTGCTAAAAATGAATCTACCATTTATATTCACAAATCCATTATCTAAGTTGAACATTGCAGTACTGGGAAAACTAAAGGAATCAAATCCTGTTTTTTCATCCTTTTTTTCTAATTTCAGAAGTTCTTATTACGAGAAATCATTTTTTGAAAAACATTTTCCCAGAAATCAAATTGCATTTTTAGTAATTACACAATTTTATTCATTGTTTTGTTTTGTGAGAGAAGAATAAAAGAAAAAAGTATAAATTTTGAAATTGAAGCACCTTCTCAGTAACTCAGCACCACAATGTCTATTTGATGATTGAGAGAATAAAGTTTGGGATGATAGCAACGAAAAAGTCGCACGACCCAATTTTTCAGTTGTTAATATTGATAACATTTTCATTCATTCGCAGCACTAATGCAAATGGAAAAATTTTCTTTACATGAAATCTAGCGTATTATTGTTATAGAATCGGAATATATTTTTTCTCGACTTTATCATGTATTTGTCAATGCTAAACAAAAAACATACTAATTCATGTATTTTGTTTTGTATTAAAAAAAAACAAATGTTAAAATATTTATTTTATCTATGAAAGATGAATCATCGTTCACTAACATGATTTACTCTAAAGCATAATTGATGATAATTTTCAACAATCGAAAATATGCTCAAAAAGTACAAGTTTGTCTTAGTATTAATAAGTATTACAAAACAAGTACGCTGATTGATGAGTCTCTTGTTGATGCTGATTTCATTCATCACAGGTATGGGTGCATGTCTTCTCGTCATCCACATACTCACACTCTCAATAAATCATTTCTTCATGTTTGTTCTACTAAATTTCAGATTGGTCAGTAGCTTGTTTTCTTAACAATTTCAATACAAGTTTCACATTCCATAAAAAAAGGATAAGCATAAAAAGTTTCATAAGATTGATTATACCTTGTTAAAACTTAAATCAGTATGATCTTTTTTTGTAGAAGAAAAATTTATAGATGAAAATTCAAAGAGAATCTTTAAGTTTACATAAAACTTATAAATCATCCATGAAGATTATAAAAACTTGAGTTCTCTGGAACATTTTCCTCAACTATTCTTTTATTTTCACGACATGATGTTGCTAACATTAAAAATGTGATTGCTTTTTTTATAATGTTTGTCGATCTTTACAACATTGCACAATAAGTGATAACTCGAATGATTCAATAGTGCCATTCGAAATGAGACAAAAGCTTGGTTTTGTTTTCAATATTCAATAATCATCTACATCTCACGCTACTATGAACGTTTATCATGTCCATGCAAAAGGTTGTAAACGAGATGAAGGCAAATATCTGTCGCTTTATTTTAAGGTTCATTAGGAACATGTTTCACACACAAAAAGCCACAAAATAACACTGATCAAGCAATAGCTTCGAAACTCTATTTTTATCAGGCATGTGAACAAGCAGAGAGGAATTAATCACTGCTTCTAGACAATGTCCTTTCAGTCGAGCAAATAACAATTCACGATCACAACGATTAGATGAATCACAAATCTTCAGACAAAACCAGTCATCTACATGCTTTGATGAGATCAATAGTTTTTCGGTAAGAAGCAATGAATAGATTATTCTCATTCAATGTTGGTATATTTTTCTACTCTAATTAAAAGTCTACCAGTCTTGAGTAAAAACATTATAAAAAGATAATCCTGTACTTAGAACCATCCATAACATCACAATATAATCAAACATATTACGATTATAGATTTATATCTTAAATTATGAAACTGATCCAAAAATTAGCAAAGAATGATTGTCTGTAAGAAAAAGCATACAATAGTTCAAGCATTAGCTTAATATTTTTCATGGATTTCTATTGATTTTTTTCAGGAAACTTTCACTACTTGTATAGTATTACCTTGATTAAAACAGGCTATTCTCGAATTGCTATCATCAAAAGCAACATAGCTAAAATTTTTCCTTAGTAATGAGTCTTTCGGTGATATAGTAAGAAACGTTTCATTTCTGGAACTGTAACCCATGGATACCATTAACGATCTCAAATTATTCAAATTATTTGTATTATTGATATTTTTTGTTTTAGACGTTCCATGTGAGCAGATTGGAATACTATATGTACTGTTGGTCTCATTTCCATTGGTAATAAAACTGGCACAGAAACAGGTCGTTCGGTGTGTACCAGAGCACAACTTAACGCAATTCTTTGTCCATGTTAGTCGACAAGATATTGCTTATTGATAAAAGTTCATCGTTATGATTTAGAGATTCTTCAAAGTCATCACTTGACGAAAATTTGTACTCAATAAACAATTATTATTACTTTCAATTATGTTGTAGATGATAAAACTCCTTGTATAAATGAAGCAACCGTGCCCATACCATCAAATGGTTTTCGTTGAACAATATTCATTTTTCAAACCCACTCATGACTGTTGATGTATGATTGTTTTCGCATAAAGACAGACTGTGGATAGTTTTGGTGCAAGTGAGTGCATGAGTAAAAGGAAGACCAAACCTAACATTTCACATCTAGACCAATATGATCAGTTCCCACCAATTATGCGTGAATAGGAGTCGTCATCGCATCACAGTATATCAAAATCAGTCATATGTGATTGATTAAAGATCTTGCTGGGAAAAAAAATTCATTTTGATATTAATATTTGCTTGCTTTAGAAGAAATTTAAATACTAAATTAGTAATAACGTGAAGCAATCATTTATTTATTTTAAGAGTCGAATTTGAGATTGATTGAGACAATGTGTATTGTACTACTAAAACTATTTTTAATATTTTCAAGTTTGATTAATAGCAATTGAGAAATTAAAAAAGTCCTCATCATCACGTGAGAGTCAATCATTTTTCTTTTGATCAAATAGATTTCCTTGTACGCATATTGACATATGCTGAATATCTTATTCTCTCATTCAAGATATTACGTCTATAACTACCTAACCTTCAGTGAAAGAAAGACAAAATATAAGAAAGAGACTAATTGCTATCAATCGTCATTTTTCATTTCTCGATCATGCAGTAGACTATCGATGTATATATCTGTAGAAAAATATACATTTTCCGTAAAACGAAGGGCATTATGGACATATTTCTTACTCGCTAATTGAGGAAATGATAATATTAATCGAATGATATTTTCCGAGAGAATAATCTATAGTAACTGGAGAAACATAAATAGTAACGATAAGTGTGTCGAGATTATTCACTTTCTTTTTCAGAAGCAAATATGTACAATAAATTTTCCAGTAACTCTTTTTTGATAATGTTAGTACTTATTTTTCATAGATATCAAGGTAGCACAAGCAGCTGCTATTTTCGAAGCTCAAATGGCTGGTCAAGAGACACCAGACAGTGATCCACGCAAGAAGGCTGATAGAGAAAATCAAGGTTAGCTTTCAGGTGATCAATTTGCAATTGTTGAAACTCCTGTTACTCATATGAATGTCACAGTTGGAACCAAGGAATAAAATATTATGCTATCGAGTGAATAACGATTGATATTTTATACAAGCGAACGTTTTTTTTTTACTTGTGTACATTATATTCGAACATTTTCGATGTACAATAAATTTTATCTATTTATCTAGTTTCATATATGTTTTTTCTTGAATTTATAATATTTGTCTATACAATCCGTCGATCTACAGAATATAATTACAATTGATTTTTTTTCGCGATGAATAAAGAGATGACAAAGCAAAAAATGAACATCTTTTGTTCAATGATCAACTCGATCACCTTATACATCTAATGTTTCGAATCGATAGGAGGATACTGATCGTTCGCATACAAGGAAACGTATTCAATTGTCAGATGCCGTTCAACTTCATAGCATGGCTAAGCGTAGATGATCTAATGAGACTAAGAAAAGTTGAAAAGAAGTCAAGCCAATCGTCAACTGGTGATTAGCTCTAACTGTATAAATGAGAGTCTCACTGCGACTAAGACGTTTCTAAAAACAACAAAAAAAAACAGATTTACTTGTAATTTGTTCAAAAATTGATTTATTAGTCATTATATATCCCTAGAAGTCTTAACGAAAGCGACCATGTCTTTCTGAAGGTGTTTAATCATCAAAAAAATAGTAACAATTCATCATAGAAGGACACTCAAATTGAGTCTACTTGAAAACCAACTATCTCGAGAAAAAACATCGGCACTTTCATTGAAACCTTTAGGACCATCGAATGACTATTGCATTAGTGTCTAGATAATTCTCAGGTAAAAATTCTGTTTTGAGTTTTTTTTAAAGACTGGTATCGATTTCAGTGAGAATTTCATTTAAGTCGCTAAAGCTTTCATTATTAGTTGACCGTGAGCCTAAATTTTTGTAATGTAGGTGTGGATATTGCGGTAGCTTTTTCCTTTCGACAATACACGCTCTCTTTTATTCATTCAATAGCATGAATATAAATCTTATCGGATACTATATAGTTTATTGCATCTTCTGTTAGATTTTCAAAAAAAAGAGGAAATTACATTGATTTTATTCGAACGATTTCAAATAAAAAGGATCATTGCATTCAATAGATCTATCATATTAATCACTGAAGGGATTTATATTTTTTATAGGCAAAAATGTGATTTTCTTTTTCCCTAGAATTTTTCGATAATTCCAATACGTGCTTTCTATCTATAGATACTATCCTGATCCTCACATAGTGTTGTATGTTGTGTTGAGAATATCAAAAAACCCATCAGCGCTATCATTAAAGTGAACTAAGATCACAATTCCAATTTTACCTTTTAAATAAATAAATAAATAAATATATATAATTATATATATAACTGAATCATGAGAGTAAATTGTGAGAACCAATACAGAATGTGAAATTCTACATAATATTGTCTCCAATAATACTGCGAAGTGACAATATCGTTGGCCTTTTTTTTGTCATTAAACTTTTCAAAAATGTTTAACGATAACATCGGATGCAACAGTAATCGGATAAACATTGTTCTCTGTATCTTTTTCCGGTAGATATGTTTTGAAATGAACATACAAAATACTTTTCATTGCAACACGCTCTATTACAAGGAAATAAACATTAATAATTGTTTCACTTTCTGTTTTTGTTTCCAAACATTTTAAACAATACAAGAATACACTTGCCATCATATAATCCATCACATTTGAATCAATTGATAGGGATTCATATTTTGGAGGATTTTAATAAGAGAGCTCTACTATGTTATCATCATTTCTTAGCAAAGATGAAGCCATAATAATTGATATCTTACAATTACATGATACTATATTGATTAAATAATGTATGAAAATTTTGTAGAGTTTGTTGATACTGTCTGCAAGAATAATAAATTTTGATATCATTTTGGTACTAATGAGGTACTCTAGATGCCGTTATAAAGTATATATGACGTTGATCATAAGACCTTTCGGATGACTTCTTCCCTTGTTAAACTAGTTTAGTTAGGTTATGATTATTATGTGAAAGAGCTTGAAGTAAAGAAATTTCAATTATTATTTATTGAAAAAATGTAGTATATTTCATGATTAGTGTCTAGCAGCATTAAGTTCGAATTATAAATAATTTAAGTGCAATTCATTCGAAATGTTTGCTCGCATGATAGCATGATTTATTTAGTACATAGAATAGTAATCAAAGTGTAAAACCGCAATAAGTGTCGTTCGTACAATGTTTATTCAATAAAAAAAAAAAGAAAAATCATCTATTTTCTACGTTACACTTTTGTTGATTATTTTATAATGACGGACAAATGTCTGATGAAAAATGTTAAGACAAACTAAATACTATTCGATATTTTTATAGGTATTATTTTTCTCTAGAAATAAATAAATTATGTATCTAACTAAGAAATACGCTTCATTGTATTCGAAAAATCTTTTGTTTGATTAATGAACAAAAAAAATAGAGCTATTACTTTGTGTCAATAGCATAACATTAATGTGTACGATTGTATCCGAAAAGTACAAGCGAACTAATCGTTTGAGCCTATATTTATTTAATACATCGGGCACAAAATCATCGTAACTTTTACTGTCCGAAAAAGATTTCAAATGACGACGATTGATGATTACAATGTCTACTCTTTTTCTTATTATTCAATGACTGCTATACACATTGACAAGTAGTCAACGATGAGTTTAATACTATTATTCTTATTCAGTATGATTCTATCATTAGTTAATAGTGATTGTGATGGAGAATTTAAAATTATGTGTTATTTTTCATCATGGACTGGTATTCATCCAGATGCTAAAAATTGTACACACATCGTATATACATTTGCACGTATTGAAGATGATAATACACTTACTGGTAATTGTTGTTTTCTAAGATTTAAAATAATTAATCAATAGAAGTTTTTTGTTTTCATAGGTGTATGGAATAATCCATTGAAAGATTTTAAAAATAATAAAGATCCTCAATTAAAAGTTTTATTAGCTATTGGTGGTCAAGATTATGCAATAAGACGTGCTAATGAAATGATGTCAAAAGATGAATATCGTCAAAAATTTGTTATTTCAACAACAAAACTTTTACGAACACATGAATTTGATGGTATTGATTTAAATTTTGAACCAAGTGAAGCATTAGGACCACCATCAACACCTAATCCACAATTAATTGATGATAAAAAAAAATTATCTAAACTTTGTAAAGTAAGATTTTAAAGATTTTAAAAAAAGAAAAACATCTATAATCGTATTATTAATCATTAGGATCTTCAAGAAGAATACACTGAAGAAGCTAGTCGAACAGGACGATCACGTTTATTACTAACGGTTACTATATCAGGCATAAAAAAACAACTTGAATCACGTTTTGATTTACAAGAACTTGCTCAGTTGGATATAAAAATTCCATATTTTTTTTTCTTTTTAAAATCTTCTATATGTTTATATACAGATGCGCTGATTGGCTTAATGTTCAAACGTATGATTATCGTGGTTCACGAGATAAAATTGCTGAACATCATAGTTCTTTAATGCAAGCAATACATGCTGAAAATGATGATAAAGATCTCAATCAGGTTTATTTTTGTTTTTATTTATCATTTCATAGATAATCGATATGGTGATCATAGGATTCAGCAATTAAATATATTCTTGATTCGGGTATTGAACCATCGAAATTATTAGTTGGTCTTCCAGCATTTGGAAAAAAATTTCGTTTAACTAGTGATTTACATGATCTTGGTAGCCCAGCTACATTTGTAGGCAGTGTGCCTTACACTGAAGTAAAAAAAAGAATAAAACTCAAAATGAGAATTCTATTTAATATTGATATATTTTATTAGCTTTGTCGAAATATGATGTCTGGTTGGCAACGAGTTTTTCTTGACGATCGTAAAGTACCAATTATGATTAAAGGTATATAATTAATAAGAATTGTGTTGTTCACTTTTCTTCTTCTGAATATATAATTCTTTTATTTTTCAATAGGTGATGAAGTTATTGGTTATGATGATCTTCAGAGTATGGAATTAAAAGTAAATAAAAATTCAAGAAAAAATCTCTTTTTTTTTATTTAAAAAACAAAATTTCTTAAAATAGATTAATTATGCAAAAGAACAACGTCTTAGTGGTATTTTTATTTATCCAGTTAATTTTGATGATAGTTCTGGTCAATCATGTAATCAAGGAAAATTTCCTATTGTTACACTTGTTAAACGTTTAACATCGAATTATACTGTTTCATGTTTACCATTAACAACACCACCTTTAAATACAACTGTAGCACCAAAAAATCGTACGAAAATAATAACACCTAAATGGAAATTAACACGTCCAGATTATTTACTACCTGGAGTAGGTTTCAATAAATATCATCATCGAAAAACATATAATACAGGTTATTTATTAACATCAATGTATACAACTGTATGCCTTCATTTTATCTTTCTATTCCTTCTTCTTGTTTAATTTAATATGTAAAAGAAATAAGAAATTGCAATAACCTATTAAGAACAAAAAAAAGATTATTTTTTTTCATCATGTTTATTGAAAATAATTCAATTTAATTTTGACAACTATTGCTCAAACAAAATTTTGATTGCATACATATGACGTTCATTACATCGGTCAAAAAAGTAGAGAATGGATTTTAACTTTATCACTTGTATAAAAAAAACATAAGATACAGTACAACCTTCGTATAGCAGATCCTTTTTCACAGTCTCGTGCAAAATGATTTTGACTGGAATTGAATCTCTGGTAAAATGAACACCATTCTTCCGTGTTTAGACAGAATGGTGCGACCCATTCAACCGCAATCAACAATTGCTGTATTCGTCGATATCGATTCTTCCATTCCTCTATTCAACTAGTTGAATGCTAATCAATAGCTAATCAAAAATGGTGGAAGTTGATGGAAAAGACATGACAATATCTCTCTGCAAGGAAGCCTGTCAACTGTGCTTGAATCATTGAAAACGATGAAAAGCTTTTATCTTTTTGTACGTAGGTTCCTAAATAAGACTAAAAATTTAGACAATTACTATAGAGATGGTTTCATTTTGAAAATGAATGAGTTACATAAGTCTCATTCGTATTCCAGTTAATTAGTTATTGCATAATGAGATTATGAATTCTGCTTGATTGATAAAATGACGAAAGAATTGAATAGAGAAAAAGACATACTTTGCACAACAGAATAGATACATTCGCTTGATAAGTAACACACAATGATAAAAAAACAATTCTGATATTGAGGGTAACGGTTTGGCTCATCCTCATTATCATTCCTATTGAGATGATAATCGGTTGATTACTGTGATGAACTAAAAAGTTATTTCTTTGTCAAAACTGAATGCAAATGAGCTCATTGTGACTTTCTCTGTTCCTAAACAAAACCTTCTCTACACTGGTTGATTTCATTTTGGGTATCATTTCGGCAATAGCCTTCTTGCGTGCATTCCGCATCCTAAGCTTCACATTCTTCTCTTCAATCTTCAATAACAATAAACTAATTTTGTCAAAATAGAGCTATATCAAAGATTATTTTAACAACTGTTGTTTTCAACGATAGAAACACCCACACCCTCGTTCATATTTCAATGTTTTCATTCGATGAATAACACAAGACAACTTTTTACTATACTCAAATGAACAGGAATAAGACCATTTTATTTTTCTTACATACCGATACTTCACTTTTTTACAAAATAATCATCTATATTTTTCACAAGTGTCAATAAGTGAAAAGAATTTATTAGTTTGTTTTTCGAGCATTTTTAAAATTAGTTGAAGAAGTCGAGTTCAGAATAGTATATATTTCTTCTTTATGTTCTTTTGATAAACATGATTTATCTAAACATGTTCGTCAATATTCACATAACGTAACATAAAAAGATTTTAATGATGAACATATACATTGATATGTACCATATTCATTTTTAATACATTTACCATTATTTCGACATGATTTATATCGATCATATTCGGACGTTATATTACATCGTGAACAATATTTTGGACACATTTCAACAAAATAATGTCCTTTAATCATAGTTGAATATTCAGTACACCATTTCTTAAGATTTTTATTTAATTTAGAATAGACTTTGATTAATTGAGAACAATCAGCCGAATCAATACATGTACGTTGAGTAAATTTTTTTGATTCCATATATCGTCGAGGTTTGGGGTGCTATAATTTTGACTGGTTTTACTGTTGGAGCTTTGGTCAAAGATATTTTTCGTTCCTTTTTCATCGATGTTTGTACTATTAGCTGAAATAAAATTCACAATGTAAAATAAAGTCCTGTAAACCGAAAAGATTCAAGTAAAGATAAGCAAGGCTATATCGGTTTCAATCTCGAATTTTTTATACTTTTCTTAGTTTCAAGTATGTTAGGTTAGAAATCACTTTTGAAATGAGAGTTATCTCATTAGGTAAAGTCTAGTGAGATAAAACAAACTCTAAAAATGATTTATGTTCATGAGTCTTTCTTCGTCAGTTATGGTCCATTTAATACATTTTCAATAACATGTTGCCGTCCTCATCAGATCACCTTCAAAATCAACTCCTATAATTTCAACTTTGCATATGGGACTAGTTCATTGTGAAATTTTCAGATTTTCTAGTGTCTCTTATCATGAGATATAAATTTGGGAATCGAAAGGCAATTTTAAAGGTGATCTAATAAAGACTAGGACGTTTTCTTGTAAAATTCCCTAAAATGATCATAACTCAAGAAGAAAGATCCACAAAAACGAAGCATTTAGACTTTGCCTAATCTCAATAGACTCTATCTCAGCAAGTAAATCACATCTCAATCATGTTTTATAACCTACAAAGATTCCCTCATCCAACAACAAAATCAAGTCAAATAAACTTTCGAAGGAAAGTCTTCAGGTGTGACGCGCCGATCAAACGGTTATTTCGTCCACACGGTGTTCTTCTCGGCTTACGATATTTTTCTTGTATTTTCTGTCGTAGGCAAAGCATGTATGAAAAAAATCCAGTTATGAAATTTTACCCATAGTCATGAAAATTTTATCCGAGAAGAATGTTTTCTTCTTGAAATATTGGGTATCCAAGAAAATGATATATGTCACAAGGAAAGTTCAGGACATCGAGTATTTTCAACATGTAATATCTCTAGAAGAAAACTTTTTTTTAATTGAAATTTTCAGGACTATGCGCAACATTTCGTAATTGGATTTGTTTATATATGCCTTGCCCAAGGCAGAAAATACAGGAAAATGATGGTAACTCGAGAAGGACAGTCTATGAAGACGAACTCTTTTAGACTTCGTCTAGTCTCATCGAGACCTGCTTGTAGACGAAATATCGACTCAATCGGCGCGTCACATTTGAAGACCTTCTCTCGTTAGTTGGTATTATCTTGAAAAATTTTTAAATTTACTGTTGTCGTTGTGATTAGAGGCGATGATAAATGAGGACATTGACTACATGTATATGGACATAACTCTGCAACAGATCGTCCATCAATACCAATAAATTTTATTGGATAATATTGAACAAATGTTGGACATTTTGAATGCAGATCTTCACATTCCGCTATTAAATGTCTATAAGAAAAATAATTCAATTTTCATTATCTTTTAAATTAAAATATCACAATTTTTTTTTGTTATTTATTTTTTATATCCTTCACAATAAATATGTCGATAAGATAATATTGAATTATAACATAAATACATGACATTCATTCCACGTGTTCGTAATAGATTAAAAGCATCGGAACAGAGCATATTACCTTTCATAAGTTTATCCTTTAAATTTAACATTGGAATTGGTACAAATAAATCTTCATATGGACACAGAGCTAAATCATTTGGTTTCATTTTCTGATTTGTTGACACACACTTTTTTTTTGATGGCATATTCGATTTTCACTACATGGAGTATCTAAATGAAAGAAAAAAAAAGAGCAATGAATTTTTTTTTTGTTTTTAAAATAATATTCAAAACTATCCAATGTTTCATCTTGTTAATAGATAAAATCATCATGTAATTTTTTAAAACACCTTAATTCATTACAAATATATGAATATAATAAAGTTTATATATTTCAATTGTTTCAAATTCTGTTTTATTTAATAAAGTTTGAACATCATGTAATATAAGACTATCAATAAGAGCAATTATTTCAAGATATATATGACGAGATTTTTTTAGAAATTGTTTTTTGATTGGTTAGTTTTGTGATGTTTTTTTTTATTTGCAGAAAATGTGAGATTTTTAATAGTTTCAAGTAAAGTGGTTGATGATGTGATTTTTTTCGACGACGTTGTATTTTGAAATTTCTTAGCAGAACGTCGTTTACGATTGTAATAGAAACATATGTTTGTTTAAGAATTAAACCATTATGTTTAACAATACAATCATCATTAAATGATCGTGTTTGACTTAATGAAATCCATGAAATAATATTATAAAAAGAATCATAGCAAATAATAAATTAGAATTTCAAGATACTGGATAAATAACAGTAACAATATTAAATATATTTTCATCAGATTCTATTTGATAAGTTTTAATGAATAATGAATTTATTATAGTAGGATTTTGATTATAATCAAGAATAATAACAGATAGTAATGCATAATTTTTTAGTTGGTGTTATTGTTTCAACAAATCGAAAATAATTATTCTTACTATCTGTATTCGATATTAAATCAAATGATGATGCATTATTTAGAATTATTAAGTTTATATTGTTTAATAAGAATAACAAAAATGTCAACGACATACCGTTTCAATTCTACACACGCACACATATACTTCCTCAAACAAATATTTGTTACATAACGAAAAATACCTCTTCTATATTAACATTTTTGTGCTTTTGATATATAATCAAGTGTTGACAGTTCTGGTATGTACGATAGAGTTACACATTCTCTTTATCTTACACGACATTCTTTTTTGTCGTTCGATTACAATCCTACAATAGGATTAAGTGATATGATAGACATCCTCTTTTTTTTCTTTTATAATATATAGATATATATAAAACAATATATTTTGACGCAGACAATAAAGTTTTTTTTTTGTTTCTTTATTTCATGATTATATATTTCATTTTGATCGAACATACGAACGACTATTTGCATCGCCAATTAAACAATGAACAATAATAATACCAACAAGCTAAAGAACAAGAAAAATATATTCGAGTATATTTCAAACATATTCAAAACTTACCATTGTTAAACTCATGAATAATGCTAAACCACCATTCATACCTAATAAAAATTTTTCTTTATGATACTAAAAAAAAATCAATAGTATAATCATTAATACAAAAGACTTCTTTATTTTTTTTCTTGTCAAAACTTACATTACTTTCTACTAAATTTGGATTATTAACTCGATCATCATTCAAAAAGCCATCGACTTGTGCTAGACATAATCAAATTCATTATACAAAAAAGAAAGAGAAAAACAAACAAAACTTAAACTTACATGCAAAAATAATCCCAATAATCCCAATAACTATACCAAGAATCATCATAAACCATAAACATGACACATACTAAATCAATCAAAAAGATTTCAATTTTCTTTATACATTTTTCTACTCACTATTCTCAATAACAATAATCGTAATGTAATCGTAGCAATAATACCAATAATACTAATTAGAATACCTATTGATCCAATAATAACAAGAAGAATACCAAAACCTAATTCTCTTCGATAAATATCATCGGAAAAGCTAAGAATATTTTCAAGACGTGGAATACTTAGATGCCATGCACCAAGTACAATAAATGCTATTGACTCGAGAATAAGAAGAAAAATAAATAAATACGAAATAAACATAATAAACCAATGTAATGGTCGTTTATGAACATAAATTCTTGGTGTATAATGATAATATTGAGATTCAACTTGCCTATGCATTCTTTTATTAAAAAAAACGAACGATTTATCTTAATAAGAAATAAGTTCAACGAACAAGTAAATTCTTATGCAAATAAGAATATGCAATAAAGAATCACAGAATGAAAGGTATACAAGAACGAGAAAAATGTTAAGAATGAAAATACTATGGCTATTATTAATGTCTCAAACCAAACGATGATGGCGTGAGAAGGAAAGGTATTATATATGCAACAAAAACTTCTTTCATTTTTCTCTTGTCTTGCTAGCTTCAAGTCAGTTGAATGTGTTGTCATTTGATCAAGAAAAGAGAGAGTGTGTGTGTATGTGAGAAGGAACGGTACAAAAGAAGGTGTTATTATATTAGCATAAGAGATCATACATATTTCTCTTTTCTTTTTTTTCGTTGCTTGACACATACATTTAATTGAAAAATAATGAATGTAAATTGTCGTTTGAAATATATCATAATTTTTATACACAAAAACATGTTGTTATAGTTGGAGTACCAATTAAAGTCAGTTATTGAAAGTAAACTAAAACAAAAAAAAAAGAAACATGCTTTTTATACTGTTAATTAGTTATATATTAAAATCAACTTTATTTTTACATTTCTATTTCTGTTGTGTAAAACTAAGAAAAACGGCAATATAGCTACATATATTCAGAATTGTTTTGTATTCTTAATGAAGTTTATTTATTTTCTTTGAATGTCTTATTAAGACTTCGATAATATTTAAAAAAATTTTTTTGATTTATTTACAAATGTATTCGTTGCAATAAAATATAGAAAAATAAAAGAATTATGAATGAGTTCAGCTACAATCTATAAATATGTATTATTGAAATATTATAGACATTATTTGATTCGGTTCACTGCAAGTGTTACTGTTTATACCGCCAAAATTTAAATTGCCTATACATGGTCGAAAAATATAATCCGGACCTGGACATCAATAAACAGAGCCATTAGCACTCAATTCGGATCCATTTCCACAAGTAACAACCATCCATGAACGACCATTAGTTGTCACTGGTCCATATGTAGTTGACGTTCTTAAAACTAAAGCAATATTAGCTATTACAATAGGATCAGTTACTGTTACGTCGACTGAATCAAATGTACCATTCATTGTTACTAATCTACAGAGTAAACTTATTAATTAAGCAACAAAACTTGTCCATGCAGTATATTGAGTCATCGAAGTGATACCACTTATAAAACTTTGGTACTTGCTGACAAAACAGTCGTAGTCTCTAGAAGTTTAAACAAAAAACATTTCATGAAGAGTGAAAGAAACGTTTAATCGTGCCTGAAGTAGTAGTAGTGACTGCTACACCTGAAAAAGAATATACTTGATTTTAACCATACGATTGTAATTGTAGCAAGAGTAATACCTCCGACTAATAGACTAACATCTAAAACTATCAGAATAATTCTATAATACGGTGATATAAATGACCTATAAGTTGAATAACATATTAATGGTGTTAGAAACTTTAGAGTTATGTTATAGATGTACTTTTTTGAATTTGAATGAATATTTATTGATTCATTCCATGCATCTGATTTGACTAAGCTGGTAGAAATCGAAGACATATGTTGAAAACTAAGATTTGAATTAGTTCGAACAGGTTTTGATGACCAAATACTGTTTCGAGGTACATTTTGACCAAAATTTGAATATCTCTAAATAAAACTTACATTATTCAACTGATCATTTCTTTTTGCTATGAAATAGTCATTAAGGAACTAAGAAATCTTTTTTATACTATCCCTGAATTCGATTTAAATGTTTTATCCTATCATTGTTGAATTTTATTTATGATTTGTACAAAACTCTATAGTGTATATATATCTGTTGTTTGCAAGCTGTCAAATGTATATGTGTAAATTTGTGATTTTCATATGTTCGATAGAGAATAAGTAGAAAATAATTAAAATTTTCTTAAGTTTCTGTATGATCATGTTTTTCTGAGGAACAAAAACACTAATATAATTATTGAAATGTCTAAAATAGTTGAACTATAAGAAAGTAAAAATATGTATTGTTTATTCAAAATACAAAAGATTAAGAACCGAAAATTGATGTAAAACATTCTTTGTAATCAATAGTTATATTTCAAATAAGACATTGATTCTTATAACTTGTCAATACTACCATGTCGTCACATATCAATATATTCTTCTCTAACCGGAAAGCATTTCTATTATATTAATATTTGTAACAATTCATGTGGTACTTCAGTTAATATAAATTATATATATTTTTATTAGCGACTTTTCAAACTTAAGTTAACAACTTCTTAAATATCATAAAATTCGAGAATTCTAATATTCACATTGATTTTTATATTGCAGATAATAAAAACTATAGTTCTTATATGATTTATTTATTTTTTAAATTCTGTATTATTGAGGACCACTCAGATTATAGCAAAATACGAAGAAAGAAACAAACGTAATTGCTTATAGGAATGTACGATACAGATGGCTATCATTATAAAAACATATCTACAGCAAAAAAAAAGAACATGGAATACATTGTGAAATCAAAATGTTTTGCACAATGGTAAATAAAGAATACAAAAGAAAACAAAAGAAAAGTCAACATAAAGGACGGTAATAATAATAATAATAGTAAAGAAAAAAACAATGTACAAAGAAAAAATAGTCTAAAAAAAAACAAACAGATTTATTTCATGTTTTAAGTAAAAAGGAATGTGAGAATAAACCGATTAATAATTGTAGTATGAGAAAATTATAAAAAATACAAATACACACAGGACACAGATCTGATTGCAATTGAGAAAGTTAAGCATATATGTATATCTATTTGAGTAACCAAGATACAATGAACAAGATAAAAGATATGATTAATGATGAATATTGTTTCGAAGAATTATTAAGATTAAGAAGAGTTGTATCAGGATTATAGACTAAAATAAATTAAAATAATATAAAGAATCTTTCATAATTTTCTATCTTTGCTGTATTCAATGCTATTGAATATATATATACTTCAAGTGTAACATCTGCGTTAAGCTTGTGTCGATAAAAATTTTGACAAAGTCATTTTTCTATTCTTTCTTTATCAAAATTAAAAAAACCAATAGCGATTCTTATTCATTTACCCACTGCAAGTCACTTCTATCGTATTTTACGCTATTCATCTGGACGAAAAATTTGTACTTTCATGTATTTTTCCGATGTATGAGTGTGAGTATTGTTGCAGATTAAGATAATGTCCAAACATAAATCCACATCTCTGAAATACATACCTGAGTACGAATTTTCTCTCACGGGAATAACGTACAATATCATAAAAGTGACTTGCAGTGAGTAAATGAATCAGATTAGCTGTTATTCTTTCGAATTTTTATAAAGAAACAATAAAAAATAACGTTGCCAAAATTTTCATCGATGTAGTTCTGTCTCTTTGCATTAATGCAAAGTCGATGTAAATTTAGCAAAGATGTTACGCTTGAAATATATATACATTCAATATCATTGAATACGGTAAAGATAGAAAAAAAAGTAGGGTTGAAGCACCTTCTATGATGCAAAAGTGATTGGACAAATGTCGGCTTCAATTTCGCTTTGATACAAGAATACTAAAAGATATTTCTTTTTCTCTTTTGGAATCGTATATATCTTGTTTTTATCATAAGATCGTAATCGAAATGAATTCGTACTTTTCGTAAAATGCAGAATAACGATGAAAATTATCAAATCCTATCGTTACTTAGTAAACTCGTGATGGAATGAGAATCTTTTTTATCAGATCATAGAACATTTGCTTCTCTTTTGAGTTCTATATAACTTAATATTGTTATACATTTATAAATAGAATTACACGAAACGAAAGAGAAATACTTGCACAACGAATTTGCAATTTTTCTCGTTGATTTATCAACTAAACTTTATAAAACAGCGGTAGACTATTTTATGATGCAAGGCATTCTAAGAAAAACAATTTATTAAATATTGAACATGACACAGTATTAAGACCGTAAACGATTGAATATTCGATTTTCATACCCATTTTGACGATCGTTATCGACTATGTACGGCGCAATACTACGTCTACCAAACATCAATGTATAGCTGTCTACAACTTTAAACTGTATGACATGACAGTGTAAAGTATCGCTTTTAGTCGTTTCGGCGACTGTAATCATCGTCCTGGGAAATCTTAATTAAGAAATGATCATTCAGTAACACGTTCTAATCAAAATATAAACCATTAGATGAAATCCGCGTTAATAATCGTTACGATATACCTCAGCGAAAATTAGCTAAGTGTTTCAACGTTAACTGCTCAACAACGAATTGTAATTTACAAAAAAGAACATCAGTTGTTATCGAAATATGTCGAAACACTCCAAATATGGTCAATAAAGCTCAAGCAAAAAAAAAGACCATAAAGGACTGAATGAAAGTTATACGAAATAATTCCTAGTGATTGTGATAATATTACTGCACAAAAATCGTTGGTAGACCATTCGACATAATGTGCGCTATACTGTCCGTTCTTATGAGTATTGCGGCATATCGGCAGTAGTGTGAGCAAATGTGCCACATGATGAGAATAAAATTTCCTAGTAGCTGATACAAAAAAGTCACTATTTCAACATGTTTTTGCTACAGAGATATAGGTCTTGATATTTTTATCGTTATTTTGCATTATATGAAAAATACGGATTCGTTTTGAAGATGCTTTTCCTTTTCTGTTGCATCATTTCATTTATGAACGTGTAATAAAAATAGTTTTCTTTCAATGACTTTCTGTCAGAGAGAAATAGGAGCCGAAATTTGTCTCATAACTTTTGCATCATATATTAAAAATGAATAAATAAACTTACGTATCAACAAACGTCCATCATTATCTAAAGTAATATAAAGAGAAAGAAATGATATAAAATTCTATAAAAATAAACCTCACCAAATCGAAATTCTCTTTCCGGTGATGAATATTTTCCTTCACCTCCAAGTGACCAAGCTTGTACACGTAATTTAT